GTTGCAGTTTAAAAACTGTAGTGTAAAGCACCCTTCTGGCAAGACAGTGAGGGAGTGAATGATGGTGAAAGTTTTTCTTTTTCAGGCCACCCTGCCTTGGTGGGAATCGGCCAGTGTGATAATAATAAAAAAAAAAATTATTTCTTTGTTAAGGTTACAATGTGTGTTTACATATTATATGTAGTATAAATGGAGCAAAGAAAGCCACTATCATGCCTAGGCATTTTGGGCAGACTTAACCTAATACTTATAGACTACATAAGTCTAGAAAGGTGAACAGTGGTAGAATACAAACAGTCAATCTTCACTCTATTGTTAACCCCTTCAGGGTCCAAGGCCCAAATCTGAAGTGGTGCCCCAGTGTCCAAGAATTTAAAAAAAAAAAAATTATTTTTTCTTATGGAATGGTAGAGAATCTTTTTGTGCAGGTAATAAAACAAAAAGTACGAAATTTGATGGAAAATTGACAAAATTATGCTCTCGCGAATTTTGATGTGTCAGCGATATTTACGAATCGGCGATTTTGTCGACTTTGACTCCCATTTTAGGCCAATTACATTATTCCAGTCAACTAAATTCTTAGCTATTTCACTAGTATTACTTCTATTCTATCGATTGAGCACAAGAAATCGCCAAGTCAACTGTTTCAACTACAAATTAAAGTGATCGGAAATTGTTAATTTGGCCAATTTAACACAAAGTTCAAAATATTCCAATTTCAAAATAGGGTCCAGAATAAACAATGTAGGTATTCCTGGAACTAAACTAACATTTCCTCTGTTCATTAATTACCTTTTGAGGCTTTACAAATAAATTCCATTTTGATTTTATATTCACATAATGAATTTTTATTCACACCAAAAAATAAAAGATTTACTGTTATGCAATACTGTAATAATTGTATAAATATCATCACCATATTTGTGAATGTATATTAGACCCACCATCTGGCGTGTATTAGACATGTGAGGTCGTTTGTTTACTCTTGAACATCGGCAAAAATTTAACATTTCTGCTACTTTGAGCTCAGTTTCAAGCCATTTTCAGTGCTAAAACCAATCAAAATCATCTCTATTTCTGTAATATGTCTTCCATTCTATCAAATGTGACCAAGAAATCGCAAATACAACTATAAAAAACATACGAAAAAACACTGCAAAGTCACTGTTTTAATCGAAAAATCATGATTTCAGTTTTTTTCTCTCATTATACACAGTGTGCTGCAGGATCTGTTTTATGTGGTACACACATAGCACATAGATGTATTCTCTCATATCTAGGCCCAAATGTACCACTCACAGTTTATCAGAGTGAGCTGAGCTCATGACGTAGCTCTACGGTTTGGACCCTGAACGTAAAGCCGTAGATCTACGGGATGGACCCTGAAAGGGTTAATATGAGGTAGTACAATTTATGACAGTCTTACATTTTTAAGTACAAAATTAGGTTCTTTTACAATATTAGAACACAAATACAGTGAACCCCCGGTTAACGATATTTTTTCACTCCAGAAGTATGTTCAGGTGCCAGTACTGACCGAATTTGTTCCCATAAGGAATATTGTGAAGTAGATTAGTCCATTTCAGACCCCCAAACATACATGTACAAACGCACTTACATAAATACACTAACATAATTGGCCACATTCGGAGGTGATCGTTATGCGGGGGTCCACTGTATTCTGTATTTCACTCATTATTAACCCTTTCAGGGTCGAGAGGCCCTCTCCGAAACTTGTTCTCAGGGTCGAAAATTTTTCGGAAAAAAAATTTTTTTCTTATGAAAAGACAGAATCTTTTCCCGATCATAATGACAGCAAAAGTATGAAATTTGATGGGAAACTTATGGAACTATGCTCTCGCAAAGTTAACGGTCTCGACGATTTTTACACATCTGCGATTTCACCCACTTTGAGCCCTATTTTTGGCCAATTCCAGTGTACTAGTCGACAAAAAGCATAACTATTTGGCTAGAACTCCATTTTTTCTATCGAATAAGTACAAGAAACCACCCATTTACCGATTTCAACTATCCAATAAAGTGGTCAGAAATTAGCAATTTTGCCAATTTCACACAAATTTCATAAGTTGCCAATTTCCAAATAGGGTCCAGGATAAACAAGAAAGACATTCCTGGCACAAAAATAACATTTCCTCTGTTCATTAGTCACATCCCCAGGCCCCTCTTACATTTCTTTTGCTTTCCACTTTGAATTTTTATTCTCACAAAAAAATAGAAGATTTACTGTTATGCAGACTACTGCATTAGTGTAGAAATGGTATGAATAATATCAGCGCACTTGTGAAAGAATATTAGTTTCACCAGTTGACGTGTATTGGACACGTGGCATGATTTGTTTACTTTTGAACTTTGGCAAAAATCGAACATTTCTGCTACTTTGAGCTCAGTTTCAAAGTACTTTTGATTGTGAAACCAATCAAAATCATCTCAATTTCTGTAACATGTCTTCCACTCTATAAAATGAGACCAGGAAAACTAGAATACAACCATAAATACCATACGAAAATGCAGTGCAAAGTCGCTGTTTTAACCTTTTCAGGGTCTGTGCCATAGATCTACGGCTTTACGTTCAGGGTCCAAACCATAGATCTACGCTATGAGCTTAGCTCACTCTGATAAGTTGTGAGTGGTAAATTTGGGCCTAGATATGAGAGAATATATCTATGTGGTATGTGTGCACCACATAAAACAAATCCTGCAGCACACAGTGTATAACGAGAGAAAAAAAACTGAGATCGTGATTTTCGATTAAAACAGCGAATTTGCAGTGTTTTTTTGTATGTTTTTTATAGTTGTATTTGCGATTTCATGGTCTCATTTGATAGAATGGAAGACATATTACAGAAATAGAGATGATTTTGATTGGTTTTAGCACTGGAAATGGCTTGAAACTGAGCTCAGAGTAGCGGAAATGTTAAATTTTTGCCCATGTTCAAGAGTAAACAAACGATCTCACACGTCTTATACACGCCAGCTGGTGGGTCTAATATACATTCGCAAATATGGTGATGATATTTATACAATTATTACAATATTGCATAACAGTAAATCTTCTATTTATTGGTTTGAATAAAAATTCATTATGTGAATAAAAAATCAAAATGGAATTCATTTGTAAAGCCTCAAAACGTAACTAATGAACAGAGGAAATGTTAGTTTAGTGCCAGAAATACCTGCATTGTTTATTCTGGACCCTATTTTGAAATTGGAATATTTTGAGCTTTGTGTTAAATTGGCCAAATTACCAATTTCCGATCACTTTATTTTGTAGTTGAAACAGTTGGCTTGGCTATTTCTTGTGTTCACTCGATAGAATAGAAGTAATACTAGTGAAATAGCTAAGAATTTGGTTGACTGGAATAATGTAATTGGCCTAAAATGGGAGTCAAATTCGGCAAAATTGCTGATTCGTAAATATTGCTGACACGTTAAAATTTGCGAGAGCATAATTTTGTCAACTTTCCATCAAATTTCGTACTTTTTGTTTTATTACCTTCACAAAAAGATTCTCTACCATTTCATAAGAAAAAATAACAAAATTATGTTTTGAAAATTCTTGGACCCTGGTGTGCACTTTGAAATTTGGCCTCTGGACCCTGAAAGGATTAAACCAAAAACACGGTCAAAGTTTTTTTTTCTCATTACACACTGTGTTCTGCAGGATTTTTTTATACTGTGCACACTGACCACATAGACCCATTCTTTCATATGTAGGCCTACCAGCTTTCTCTTGCTAGATTTGAGGGCGCTAGAATTTAGGCGTACTAGTACGTCAAAAACCCTGGTGCGTAAGCCGTACTAGTATGTCAGAAACCCTGAAAGGGTTAATGTGAGGTAGTACAATTTATGATACAATCAGTTTATGATACAATCAATCATACATTATTAAGTTTGTAATTAAGTTCATTTACTTTATTATTAATGTGAGGTAGTACAATTAGTGATACAAGCATACATTATAAGTTTGTAAAAGTGGCTTAATAGTTAAGGGATGATAAAGTATTTAGTGGAGTTGCTTTGAATTTGGTTGGGGTTTATCATGGTGTGGGTAGGTTTGTTATTGAGAGAGGAGATGATTTTTGAGTATGATCCTAAACTGATTTCTGGGCAGGGGACCTCTTGCTGCTTCAGGCAAAGAATTCCAGATCTTAGGGCCTTTTATGTGCATTGCATTTTTACAAAATGTGAGACAGACACGACACGAGGGATGTCAAAAAGTGTTTTGTGCCTCGTGTTATGCCTGTGTGTTCTGTTGAAGCTGTCTAGGAGAAGTTTGAGTGGAGGACTGATATTTGAGTTTAATGTTCTGTATATGTTGATTCTGATAAATTTATGTAAGTAGTAATTTGATTTTCATATCTTCAGAATATGCTAAGACAAGCACTCGATAATTCTCTATGAAAGTAAGTGGAAGTCCATAAATCTTCTTAATGAATGGGTTAAATAAGCAAATGGTTTCAAGTTGGAAAAATTCAGATTCAGGAAGGGTATAGGAAAGCACTGGTTTGGTAATAGAGTTATGGATGAGTGGAACAAACTCCCCAATACTGTCATAGAACCTAAAACATTGTGTAGTTTTAAAAACAGGTTAGATAAATACATGAGTGGGTGTGGGTGGGTGTGATTTGGACCTGACTAGCTTGTGCTACTAGGTCTGATGCCATACTCCTTCCTTAAGTGGATGTGACCTGACTGGGTGGGTCATTAGTCTAAGCTGGGGGGGGGTAACATGGACCTGCCTCACATGGGTCAGTAGGCCTGCTGCAGTGTTCCTTCTTTCTTATGTTCTTATAAATATGTAGATGCTACAGCAATTGGGAAACACAAGTCTTGATATTAGTATGCAATTTGAGATGAAGCTAATGAATGTTGTTTAGTTTACATGTTCTTTGCATTTTGTTTATTACAAAGTATGTTGATGTGGAGAAATAAGTAGTTTTAGGGGAGCTTATGTACATTCTCTTTTCTTATGTTTTCAGTTTTTATTCCCTCTGCCAAGGAATGAAGGTTATGAATTTATTGTTGCACAGTTTGCTGGTCATGAGGTTCACTTTACTCCACTTATAAATTACCAGGTAAGATAAGTTGCTTTTTGAAACATTTCCTAATATATTGTACACTGACTTGTAAAATAAAATACTACTTTGTCCCCAGAATAATATAACATGTCTAAGATATTTTGTTTTCTCTCCTGGACTCAAAATTTTAAATTGTATTTGCCTTGTGGCTCTAATGATATTAGTACTGAGCACCTTAGCATATTGCTGTAGATTTATAGATACTGTTAAAAAAATATTTGAAAAACAAAAAAAATAGACACAGTCACTCAGTTTGTTGCTTATGACCCTGGGTTTGGGAACCTCTGTATTGATTATTTTTTTAATTAAAAATATGGCAATAAGTATTGACTGCTTGTATAATAATTTGTGTTGCAGGCATATAAAGAAGATGCCCCAGAATGCCTTTCACTGGTACACTACCCTGACCTGAGAGAAGAAAGAGGCATTATCTTCATGCATGGTGAATATGACAAGAATATAATTGTAAGTACACCTACCTTTGGTCAGTGTATGTCTATTTGAATTGATACTTTTTTGATAAAATAGGTCTGTTTTCTAGTTAGGATGACAATAGAAATATTTCAGTTTCTCATACAAGCGTTAAGGATTCTTGATCCATGATTTAGGTATTACTCTCTCCTTTGGATCAAACCTAATTACCTCTCATTCTTTAGCATTGTTTGACACCTACAGGTTTAGTGCTTCCCCATGAAATAATAATGATCATGTATGTGGGAGTGGAGTGGGTAATGCTGTTGCATGCATTGCCAAATCCTAACATGTAGCTTCACAAGTTTGTTTGTAAAGTGATACATGAAGAAAAGAGACTGCTTATCATCATCACAACTGGCAATACTAAATCTGTAACTCATCCACTGTCTGGGAAATGGGAAGTAAATATGTTTGATTTGAAGAAGGGATGAGTTTCTCCAGTTTCTTGAATCAAGGCACACCCTTTGAAGTAAAGCCAATTTTATTTTCCATGGTACACAGTATTGCATAACAATACAGTGGATCCTCTGTTTTCATCGATCTCCGTTATCACCGATTTCAGTTTTGGCCGACTTTTTTCGTCGATTTCTTGGTTCCGTTTTCATTGATCATATAGAACCTGTACAATGCCCAGCACGCAGACAAAGCTGCCTTCCACACACATTCTCAGCCAGTATAGCGTTGTTTCTCGGTGAGTGAACATACCCTGCCAGGTCATATGAAACATTTTGCAATAATTCATTGTTTTTGCCACTTGTTTATTGTGTGTGACTGCTAAATAAGCAACCTGGGCCCAAAGAAAGCTTCTAGTGCCAGCCCTTTGGTAAAGAATGTGAGAAACACGATATAATTCAAGAAAAAGTTTGTAGAAAAATACAAAAGTGGTGGTGGTAGAGGGTGGTAGTGATGATGGTAGAGGGTGGTAGTGATGATGGTAGAGGGTGGTAGTGATGATGGTAGAGGGTGGTAGTGATGATGGTAGAGGGTGGCAGTGATGATGGTAGAGGGTGGCAGTGATGATGGTAGAGGGTGGTAGTGATGATGGTAGAGGGTGGTAGTGATGATGGTAGAGGGTGGTAGTGATGATGGTAGAGGGTGGTAGTGATGATGGTAGAGGGTGGCAGTGATGATGGTAGAGGGTGGTAATGATGATGGTAGAGGGTGGTAGTGATGATGGTAGAGGGTGGTAGTGATGATGGTAGAGGGTGGTAGTGATGATGGTAGAGGGTGGCAGTGGTTGTGATGGTGGGAGAGAGTGCCTTCTTCAGTGATTCAGCAATTCTACTAACATCTCCAATGTTGTTGGAGTTATATAGGGCTACAGAAAACACCACTGCCTCAGCTGCAGCCTTCACCAACATTTTGTATGGCTTATGCTCACAGTGGCCCTTATACACCGAACAACAACAACATAACACCTGTCGTTACAAACATAATGACTTATTTTATTCATTCTAGAGTATATGTCATGTTTCTGTGTTATTAATACTGTTTATTATGTCATATTAGTTGAATTGTGATAGATAAATAAGCCGTAAAGTTGATGTTAGCGTCATATTCTCCAACAATAAACTCGCTTCCCTCTCCCCTCCGCCCGGTCTGCCATACACCAAGAGTCTTCAGTAAAGGTAAGTGTGATGTTAAATGTGTATTTATACATTTTATTAGTGCTTTATATTTATTTGTCATTCTTTTTCTGCATGTAAGTCTATATTTAAGCTAGGGAAGTGGCTAGGGAACTGACCACTGATTAGGACTTGGTACCTATAGTCCTTATTCAGGGAGAATTCCCTTCCAAACAATAACCTTTCTACCCTCTCCCTTCCTCCCTGTCTTTCATCCATCAACAACAGCCTTCAATAAAGGTAAGTGTCTTGTGTAATGTTCATTCTTTTGTGCATGTAAATCTGTCTTTAAGGTAAAAAAAAAATTTTTTTGTTGATACTTCTGGGTGCCTGGAATGGATTAATTCCATTTACATTATTTCTTGTGGGGAAAATGGTTTCAGTTTTGGCTGATTTCAGGTTTGGCTGATGGCTCTGGAACAGATTTAGCATGAAAACCGAGGGTCCTCTGTATTTTATTTCAGCATGATACAGTGGTTGTACAAAGGTGAATGACATTTGGATGTACCTGCCGAAAGCCTATTTATGTGTGGAGCATTTTGGGCAAACTTAAAACTAACTAAATTAAGATTAATAAGGCAGTAACAATAATGTACAAATTTAGGAGTTTACAGTGATTACAAGAGAATTGAAAAAAGTTGAATTGAGAGGAATTACAGATTTGATTATTTACCTTAAACAGCCAGTTGTTTAAAGATTGGGAGGGTTACAGATAGAGTAAGTATACAGTGAAACCTTGGCTTACAAACTTAATCCGTTCCGTGACCTTGTTCGTATCCTGCTAATATCAATTCTACAGCTTATTTATCTATCAAAATTGATCTAATATGTCATAAACAAAATAAATAACATAGAAACCTGATATATACTCTAGAATGAATAAAATATGTCATTACGTATGTGGCTACATAGTGGTACTGGTGGCAGAGGAGAGTGATAAGATAAGATAAAATAAGATTTCGTTCGGATTTTTAACCCCGGAGGGTTATCTACCCAGGATAACCCAAGAAAGTCAGTGCGTCATCGAGGACTATCTAACTTATTTCCATTGGGGTCCTTAATCTTGTCCCCCAGGATGCGACCCACACCAGTCGACTAACACCCAGGTACCTATTTGCTGCTAGGTGAACAGGACAACAGGTGTAAGGAAACGTGTCAAAATGTTTCCACCCGCCGGGAATCGAACCCGGGCCCTCCGTGTGTGAAGCGGGAGCTTTAGCCACCAGGCCACCGGGCCACCGGGCCACAAAATACCCCTTCAATATGACGCTGATCTCAACTCTACAGCTTATTTATCTATCATAATTGATCTAATATGACATAATGAACAATACAAATAACATAGAAACTTGCTATATACTCTAGAATGAATAAAATATGTCATTACGTATGTGGCTATGTGGTGGTGCCGGCAGTGGAGGATAGTTTATTGTTTGGAGACAGGACAAAATACTCTTTCAATATGATGCTAATATCAACTCTATGGCTTATTTATCTATCACAGTTGATCTAGTATGACATAATAAACAATATAAATAACATAGAAACCTGATCTATACTCTAGAATGAATAAAATAAGTTATGTTACAAGTGAAGGCGGCCATAACCGCTCCCGCATTGTTTTTTTTTTTTTTACACAGGGTTTGACAAGGTTAAGGATCCCTAGCTTTATTGACAGCTATTTACAGGTTAAGGATTCCTAACTTTATTGGCAAGCTAAGAGCTGTTACCTGCATCAGCTCATTTGAAAGCATTTTTGTTATGAGACATACAAGTAGGGAACAGGATGAAGTTGGAGCCATCTGTGGGCCAGCATTTTCATTTGATCAACTGACTTTATCTCGTTGACATCATTATGCTGTACGAATGTGTTCCATACTCGAGTCATCCTGGGTATGTATGATCTCAGATGGAGTGATGTTCTGGAGAAGGGTACAGCCAGAGTGAAGTTGCTGCTTTCTGCCCGTCTTGTGGCATAAAAACTTGTTTCACGCTGTCCTCGAAGTGGATCCAAGTGTGGTATTTTGACAATATTGGCCTTGTACATAACAGTAAGGCCACCCACATCCCTCCTATGTTGAAGGCTCTGCTGAAATGACAGATCTATCCAGGATGGGTCCAGGCGAGAGATGAGACGTCTTGCTCTGTTCTCTACTCTGTCAAGCGGTTGCAGATGAGAGGGGGGGCAGGCAAACCAAGAAAGTGGAACATACTCAAGGTGTGAGCGTACTTGTGCCTCGTACAGGAACTTGCAACCCCTACTGTCAAGCAGATGCGAGATACGGCGAAGTGCTGTAAGCTTCCTGGCTGCCTTGTTTGCAAGATTTACAACATGGTTCTTCATGGTTAGTTTGGAGTCAAATTTCACCCCAAGGATATCAACTTCTTCTCCAGGTGCCAACATCCTCCCATTCATCCTTACTACTGCACCAGCATTACCATCATGGTGCCTAGAGACGATCATCATTTGCGTTTTCTCAGGTGCAAATGTTACTTGCCATCTATTTCCCCAAGCTGATATAGCTCTCAGCTGGTGATTGATGTAGCTTAGAGCAGCTGGAATTTCTTCTCTTGGATAAGTGAATGTCAGTGTACAGTCATCTGCATATGCATGTGATTCTGGGATGAGACGAAGAAGGTCGTTGAAGTAGACATTCCATAACAATGGACCCAGCACGCTTCCTTGTGGAACACTTGCCCCAATAGGATGCCTTGCTGATTCCGTTCCATTGAGGACTACACTTAGAGATCTACCATGAAGGTAATCACTGAGGAGACATAGCGTAGAGCCTGCAATTCCCAGTGCTTGAAGTTTTGCTAAGAGGCCCTGGTGCCACACCCGGTCGAAAGCGCCAGCAATGTCCAGTGCTACCACACAGCTGACTTTGGATTCATCCAGTGACTGGTGCCACTTAGTGGAGAGGTTTAACAACAGATCAGCAGCAGAGTAACCTTTCCTGAAGCCATATTGACGATCACAAAGTAGTGAGTGGTAGTCAAAAAACTCTGTCATTTGTCTTGAGATTATTGTCTCAAGGATCTTACCAATCATTGACAGGAGTGACACTGGTCTGTAGTTGCTGATTTCTGCTCTGCTCTTCTTTTTGTGAACAGGGACTACATTAGCCTCTTTCCATAGAGAGGGCCATTTACACTGTACTAGGCAGTGCTGAAAGATGCGAGTTAGAGGTGCTGCTAGCTGGTCTGCACATCTTCTCAACAATCTTGGGCTCAACTTGTCTGGGCCCACAGCCTTTTCTTGGTCAAGCGATTTAAGTAGGAAATGCACCTCCTCCTGCCTTATTGTCACCACTGACAGTTTTGACACAGTTCTTGCAGCTAGCCAAGGAGGGTCCCTTGCTGGAT